AAAAGCAAACAGCGCGCGCAGCCTTTGTGTCTTTCTTGCGTACAACGCTGGGTTGGCATTGTTCATCTGACTGAGACGTCAGTTACAGTTCAGCAAAAGCAGGCGACCAGTGAAACGTGGTTCAAGCGCGAATCGAAGGGGACTCTCTGGAAGCAGGTCAAAGAGCTTACAGGCGGTTACATAGAGAATTTGGCAGTGCAGGATGCATTGAGCAGACAGTCAGTTACAGGCAAGGTAGTCAAATCCGCTGCAGAGAGCGCGCTCAACAGGGGAAACACTGCTGGAGCAAACGTCAAGCGCAAGTTGCATGTGAGTCCTTAAATGTGCAGTGAGGTTCTGATTTGGCTTTGACCCCTCAGAAAGCTGACGCGCCCTGATGATGATGCTCTCATTTTGGATGGCACCCTGGACACCTCCACCTCTTGTTTTTTCTTCGTTCAGGTTTTGTTGGAGTGAAAGTTCCATGATTGAAAGTGAGGTGCCCAAGGTGCCAAGGTGCCACGCTGCAAAAAGTTGTGCAGTGCAATTGCGTAGTAATATACTTTACAAGTATATATAAAAAGGTGCCAGAGGTGTCAAGCTTCCACCACCTAACAACTGTACAAAAGAGCAGCTCATTGGTCAACTTTTCTCTCAAATGCACAAGAAACTGATTGCAATTTACTAAATCAAGAGCTTTTTACACCGTTTTGTGGCCAGCAAGTCCAATATAATCGAAAACACATGAGGATTGTGCCATTTGGTCAGTACCTTGTGCGGCAATTCCACTTGTTAGCTTATGCTTGATTGGCAGTGGCTCAAGTTTTGGTGAAATCCGGGTGGAAGCTAACACAATTTGTGTGAGCGTCTTTTTTGATGTTCCACTGCCGGCTAGTCGCCTTGGCCAGGGTAGCTTATGCTTGATTGCAGTGGCTCACTTCAAATCCTCTTGTGTGCAGGAAGACCCCTCCGCATCAGGCGCCCAGCCTTCAGACAGCAAGGAGCTCTGTCATGCCGATGGCGCGCCA